TGGCTTAATCTTTTTAGCTCCAATAGTGCAGCCTCGGGTCAGAGTACACCAAAACCAAATGCAAATATGGCTGCTATAGGAACAAGTGAAAATCGAAATTGGTTAATTGATTCACGGGCTTCTCATCATGTCACAAGTGATCTGCAAAATCTCTCTTTGCATTCCAATTACATGGGTGATGATTTGATGCTTGGTGATGGTAAAAACTTACGCATCACACACTTTGGTTCCACCAAACTTTCTTCTCCTAATCGTCCTTTGTACCTTTCTAATATTTTATGTGTTCCTAGCATGAAAAAGAATCTTATTTTTGTTTATCAATTGTGTGCCTCCAATAATGTCTCTGTTGAATTCTCACCATTCTCTTATGTTGTGAAGGACTATCTAAAGCGGGTGCCACTGGTACGAGGGAGACCTAGGAATGGACTATATGAGTGGCCAAAGAATCGATGCACTTCCTCAAATCAGACCATCAATCCTGCTGCTTTTCACAGCCAATTCTCGTCTGTTTCAGCATGGCATAATAGACTTGGTCACCCATCTTCACCTGTTTTGCGGAGAATTCTCCATGCTCTCAGCCTACCAAATTGTTATGTTTCGTCTAAGTTTTTTTGTAATTCGTGTAAGTGCAATAAAATGCACAAAACACCATTTGGGATTTCTTCAATAAAGTCGTCTTCTCCATTAGAATTTATATATTCTGATGTTTGGGGTCCTGCACCTATTTCTTCAGTTGATGGGTTTCAGTATTATTTAATCTTTGTTGATCATTTCACTAAGTATGTACGGCTATATCCAATGAAAAAGAAGTCAAAGGTTTCTCAAATCTTTCCACGATTTAAAGCCTTAGTTGAAAAATATTTCAATAAGCCAATTGTCTCCTTTTATTCTGATAATGGTGGTGAATTTATCCATTTGAAAGTTTTTTTTCCTCTAATGGAATCTCTCACTTTCTTACTCCACCATACACTCCTGAGCATAATGGCATTGTGGAAAGACGTCATAGATATATTGTTGAAACCGGTATTACGCTTCTTCATAATGCCAACTTACCTCTCTCATTCTCGTCATTTGCTTTCCAAACTGCTGTTTATTTAATTAATCGTCTTCCTACACCTTTGCTCCATTATGATTCACCATATTTTAGAATTTTTGGCGAGGCTCCCAATTATAATAAATTACGTGTGTTTGGTTGTCTTTGTTATCCATGGTTGCGTCCTTATTCCAACAACAAACTAGAACCTCGTTCTACTCCATGCATATTTCTTGGCTACTNCCCTTCAAACACACAGAATTTTATATTTCTTTGCCATGTCAATTTTTATTGAGCATGTTTTTCCATTTTTCTGGTTTCCGCCTTCCCATTGAGCCCATTTCCAACCGAAGAAACTTTTCAGCATTTGGTTTCCACGACTACTGGCAGCATCCTCTTTGGCTACACAATCAGATTCCAGTACTAGGGCTTCTCTACCTATGGCATCTTCTGATGATATTTCCTCACCATCTGATACGTTGAGAATTACTACGTCAGGTATGGGCACAAATCCTGTGGCAGATTTAAATTCTTTTTCTTTACACGCTACCTCATCCTTACAGGATTCACTACCTGACTATAACATAGAACCAAGTGTTCCCACGTCGCCTTCCTTTGACCAGCCATCAGCATCTACATCAACCAATGCATCAGATATCCAAACTTCCAATGAACTATCCGCCGAGACAGTTTCTCCACCCTCCATTACCTCGCCATCTTTCACTTTCCAACACGAGTGTTCTGCACCTTTAACCTCTTCTACCCAAAATGCTCATCTTATGATTACAAGGTCCAAAAACAACATTACCAAACCAATTCAAAAACTTTGTCTTCATGCTATCACAACGTCTATCTACCTCAGGTTTCCCCTCGNGATCCTGTATGGAAGCAAGCAATGGTTGAGGAGATCCATGCCTTACAACGCCAAGGTACATGGACTCTTGTGCCACCTCTTTCTGGTAAAAATGTAGTGGGCTCAAAGTGAATTTTTAGAGTAAAAACAAATGCAGATGGCAGTTTAAATAAATATAAAGCACGGTTAGTTGCACAAGGCTTTACTCAAAAACCTGGACTTGATTATATTGAAACTTTCTCTCTTTGCAAAACATACTACCGTCTGGGTTATTTTGTCTATTGCTCTATCTAACAATTGGTGTCTCAGACAACTGGATGTTAACAATGCCTTCCTTCATGGTACTTTGACGGAGGAAGTCTACATGTCTCAACCCTAGGGTTTTGTTGATTCCACTCGTCCAACTCATGTTTGTCGTCTCCGAAAAGCAATTTATGGCTTAAAGCAAGCCCCTCGTGCATGGTATGATGAGTTTAGTGGCTATCTACTCTCTTTGGTTTTTAAAGCTTGTACATCGGATCCGTGCCTATTTATTTTCTCTGTTGCTGGGATAATCATTTATCTCATAGTCTATGTGGATGACCTCATTGTGACTAGTAATAGTGATTCTGTTGTTTCATTGATTATTACCAAGCTTGGAAGTCGATTTTCCATCAAGGATCTGGGAATTCTTACCTACTTTCTAGGAGTTCAAGTCATTCGCATATCAAGAGGTCTCTTATTATCTCAAAGAAAATACATAGAGGATATTGTGGATCGTGCTTCTATGGGTGGTGCAAAATCTACTTCCACTCCATTGGCAACCACCAATTCTCTTATGATGGATGATAGTGCTCATCTACGTGACCCTAAGGAGTATCAGGTTCTTGTTAGTTCCTTTCAATATCTCTCACTTACACGTCCTGATATTGCCTTTGCAATACATCGTCTCTCTCAATTTTCGCATCGTCCAACAACTAAACATTGGGCTGCTTTGAAGCGTGTTATTCGCTATCTTATTGGCACAATTGATCATGGCTTATTTATGCACAAGAATTCTTCTCTTGATCTCCATGCTTTTTCTGATGTGGATTGGGCATGAAATAAAGACGGCAGGACATCCACTAGTGCTTATGTTATTTTTCTTGGAAAGAATCCTATATCGTGGAGTGCAAAGAAGCAACACTCTGTGGAACGTTCTTCAACTGAGGCTGAATACCGCTCTGTTGCCGCAACAGCTGCAGAGTTGTGTTGGCTTCGAAATTTGATTAAAGAACTTTCACTCAGTTCTCTGCAACCTCCAGTTATTTATTGTGATAACTTGGGTTCTACCTATCTGGCTGCTAACCCCGTTTTCCACTCCAAGATGAAGCATTTGGAAGTTGATTATCATTTTGTTCGATCTCTTGTTCGTCAAGGGTTTCTTCGTGTTGTGCATGTGTCTACTAAGGATCAACTTGCAGATGCACTTACAAAACCATTAGCTCGTCCAGATTTTGAACGATTGCGTTCCAAGATTGGCGTTCTTGCTCCCTCTAATGACCGCAATCTTGAGGGGGCATCTTAGAAGAATATTACTTAGTAAATCAATTGTATATATCTTTCCATATTTAGGATAGGTAATTAGTTCTAATTGATTTACTTACCGTTTATAACTTTATGTCTTTCTTGGTCAGCAAGACTATCATGTGTATATATACTCAAACCTCTTATCAATAACACAATCAAGCTTGTCTGCAACTGCTTTACTTTTGGGGTTGAGTTAGGCCCAAGGTCCATTCTTGTCATGGTATCAGAGCGAGGCCCATCCCAATTTATTGTTACCGATGTTGGGCCCCCATTTATATTGTCCACGCTCCAGTTGGAGGCCTGGGCGTGAGGGAGGGTGTTGAGTTGTGTCCCACATCGGTGGGTTATGGGTTTCTTGATCTCCTTATATGGTCTTGGGCAATCCTCACCTCACAAGCTAGCTTTTGGAGTTGAGTTAGACCCAAGGTCCATTCTTATCAACTAACACATCATTTAGAAGGAACATAATATATAAAAAGAAATTACTAAAATTTCAACAAATGTTACATTATGAAACTGTAATTTAAAAAGTGCAATGACTTTAGTGGTAAAAATTTTAAAAGTTGAACCCATCCAATTTAATGCTTCTCGCTACACCTAGTATTTATTGTGTTTCAATGATGGTAATGTACCAGACCTTGACATTTTCAACACAGGTAGGAACCTAGGAGATTAATTGGTAAAATCAGTTGCCGAAAGAACAAAGGGTTGGAAAAAGGGTCTGTTGCTTTAAACGGATTGGTCATTGGTGCAATGCAGCAGGAGCAAGCGGCTGGATTTCACCGTTGGCAAATCCAACTCCGCATTAGCAACTACAAACAAGGATGCAGAGCTCTGTTGCGTAGTTGCTACATCCGTTATGAACAACAATTCAAAATCCACCTTGAATTTTGATTTACTACAGACATTTAAGATTTCTCTGGATTTCAAGCATATGAACATAATGCAAGTTATTCAATGACTAATAAAAGATGCTACTGCGCTTGATTAACTTGACCTGATGCAATAATTGACTCTTAGGCTTGAATTACCGAAGAAAAAAGCTTTATAATGTGGAAAATATCTTCTTTCCTGATTAGCTTCACAGTGGTCCCTCAGTGCCATCGGGCCTCGACTGTTCCAGTCTTTTGGACTGATGGTAGAGTGTGGGCAGTGCTGCCAATGAAGTCAATAATGTGCCAATGACTTGCCTCCTTTTTTGACTGACATCATATACCAACAGCCAACAAGCCAAACAACTTATCTTATAGTACTGACTATGGATAACTAGTATACAACATTATCCGCATAGGCGGATTCTATAGGTAAAATTCTACTGAGCCCTTTACTTTTGGCTCAAATTGTGTACATTTGCAGAAAAAATGGAAAAAAGTTAAAACGTATACATATAGTAAAATCATTAGCGCACTGACTTTAGATTCTGGTTTCATCTATGATTCTGCTATAGATAATTAGAATATAACCAACTTCATAAATTAGAGGCAATAATAGGTCAACCAAGTCAACTTATTTCTCCACGTCATCCTCCACCCACAACCAGTTGCCAACTTGTATAAAAAAGGTACTACAATCTTGGGAGAAATGCAAGAAAAGGCATGGCTTTCTTACACTATAGTCTTCTTCTCATACTTCTCTTCTGCATTTGCACTGCAGTGTCTGTCGATCCTCTGGGCAATTTTTGCGATGATGCAACCAAATTCAATAATGCTAAAACATCAGCAAATATCGGAAAGGTGTTAGCTGAATTATTATCAGTTTCTGCTAAAGATAGCTTCAGTACTACCTCCTATGGTTATGCTATGAACCAAGTCTATGGCCTGTACCAATGCAGAGGAGATATTAGCAGCAATGAATGCTTAAGTTGCATCAAAGACGCAGCAAAGGAGATCCAAAAACGCTGTCCAGACCAAACTGATGCCAGAATTTGGTATGACTTTTGCTTCTTGAGGTACAACACTAAGAATTTTTTGGGACAAGTTGAAACAACTCCTGGTATATTCTACTACAACGTCGATTTTGTATCTGATACTGACTTCTTTAATAAGAAACTAGTGCAACTAAAGAATAAAATAACTGCAGAGGCTATTGTGCCAAAGAACAAAGGGCTTGGAAAAGGAAAAAGTAAACTATCACCTTTTCTTACTCTATATGCCTTGATGCAATGCACAAGGGACATACCCGAGATAGACTGTGCTCAATGCCTGGCCGTAGCAGTTGGCAATTTCCCCACTATTTGCTTAAACAGGAAAGGATGTCGAATCCTATATAGCAGTTGCTACGTTCGTTATGAACTCTACCCATTTTTCTTTCCCTTAGACCCGAAAGAGAAATTAGCCAATGTGTCAATGAACTACACAATGAAAGTTTCCAGACCTTAGTCGGTTGTTGTGTAATGCTTTATGTATTAAGAAGATGAAATGTTTTTACTTGTTTGTGTTTTCATTGTAACATTCGCATTTCCAATAATTACAAGTGTATGAGCAAGCTCAGTGCAGACAGTTCAACATATGTTTTGTCTGCTCAGAGAAAAGCTGTACTAGTATGTTCTTGAGATATATTACAAATTGTTGTATTCAAGTTACAAGCTTTTGAATATACATTCATCAATTTGGTGGCATATCCTTTTCCTTAAGGACTTAGTTATTGGCTCTGCCGAAACTTCTAGCGAAAGGTACAACATCTTTGACATCATTCAGGCCAGTGGCATAAAGCACCAAAGGTTCAAGCATTAGGCTGAAACCAGAGGTTTTGGCAGAGCCATGCCTGCGAAGATCTAGATACCATTCATACTGCTGTTTTTGCAAGCCCAGTTCCTTCATTCTGCCAACAAATAAACTTGTACAAATTAGCACAATATCTCTGAAGGGGTAAAAGCAATTCATCTGAATATACAAAGTGAAATTTTCACCTTGAGCTCAACACATTGAACCGTTCTTCACTTTGGCTTCCCCTAATCAGAGCTCCCACCTGCAGGTAAATTGGTGTTAAGCTTAATTACCAATGGAGATTGCTGCTAGGATTATTATCACATGAATTAGTAATAGAAGACAACCTCTATTCTTTAAGGGGCTGTAACCCTCTAATCAAATTGTTCTATATTACCTTTGGTAGGATCACATCAAATGTTGCAACTGTTTTGCCATCATCATTCAAACGGACATAAAATGGCTTAAGTTCTTTTGGATGGTTGTATACAATGACTGTTTTTTTATATATCTCATCAACCAAATAGCTGCAACCATAGATAAGAAATTAATGAGAAATATTGGCCTTACTCTTATCAAATTTATACTAGAAAGCTTTTAGTCGTACCTTTCATGTTCTTCGGTCAAAGAAACTCCCAATTCTATCTTACTTTGAAATTTCTTCCCAGCAACCTGTTCTCATACCATTACACGACTATGAAGTACCCATTTTTAAAGATTTTGCCAGACATTCAAGAAATCATGACAAAATGAATATTACCTGTCTCAGAATTTCTATGGCTTCGGCATAAGAAATCCTCACAAATGAACTTGATATGGTAAATTGGAGGCGTTCCATAACAGATTTGTCTATTCTTTTCAAGACAAATTGTAGATCTTCCATGCAACCCTCTAGAATCCTTTTGCATACAAACTTCAAAAAGTCGTTTGCGCAATCCATGGCATCCTGAAATTGTGGCAAAAGTAGCAAACTTAGTAATGAACAAGAGAAACATGGGAAATATCCCCCTGCAATTATACAATAGAAGTTATACCTCTAACTCTGAGAAGGCCATTTCAACATCTATCATCCATGTCTCAGCTAATGACTTTTTGGACTCTAATTTCTCTGCTTTAAATCTGGGGCCAAATGAGTAGACATTTCCAAGAGCACAGGCTTGACTCTCAAGATGAAGACGACCGGAAACTGTTAGATAAGTCTGGCGTGTAAAGAAATCTTTAGAGAAGTCAAATTTTCTGGTTTCAATTGTGACTCCAGATTTTGCTTTTTGCCTAGCTTCCAGCTGTGATACTAGCTCATTTGTTTTCTTCAGGTCCTGCTGTGCAGCAACTAAGGCTTCCTTATTGCTGTTAGTTCTGCTAAGTTCTTCAACTTTCTTAGTTTTTTCTTTCATAGAAGCCCGGATGGCTTCAACACTGACTCCAGCATGTTCGGTGGGACTAATTTGGTCATCCTTTATCCCCTTACTAAGAAGAGTTGTAACAAGAAATTTCTCGCTAAAACCTTCAGAATCAGTGCTTGTAATTATGGGTACTTGAACGTGAAGGAACCCTTGATCTTGGAAGAAGGCATGAGTTGCCCAAGTAAGGGAATTATGAATTCGCATGACAGATGCCACCTGCAAATTAAAAGAAGGGAATCCAGATAAAAGAGGGTATATATGCTCACCAAATAACTTAAAATCAACTGATTAAAGAAGTTCCATAATTAAGAGGTTTAATATAAAGTTATCCCTACCAGAAAGTATGAAGTACCAATCAAATTTTATTCAACTGTGCACGAAACTCCTAAAGACCTTATTAGCAATTAATCCAAGAGAGAGACACCTAACAAAAAAAATTAAAAACCAAGCAAAATGTAATAATGAATATCACCGTTGTTGTCCGTGGCCGAAAGTGGGAACAATCTCTTAAAGATTCCAGAGGCAATCGTTTCTTAGATAATGGATACTTAGATTCATCTACCAAACCAAGATGTAAGATTTTCTCTGCTTGCAGCTCAACATAATGTTTCCCCTGCACTGATGGCTGCTGCAATACACCTTCAATTAATACACATGTTCCAGTGGGCATAACTTGGCACGGATTCGCCAGTGCTGAGTCCACAAGAACCTGAGAAATGAATCATGTGAGCCTCAAATACAGAAACCATTTTGAAAGAGACATTTTGACAAACAGAAAGAGATCATATCATAGAATGTACCTGAAGACTGGCCACACAAGAACCATCACTAACTTGCAATATTGAGACAGAGGGCTGAGGCGCCTTTTGAACAACAACATCCAATTTTTCACGAATACGATATTCGCCTGCCCCAAAAACCTTCATAATAGACCTAAATAGTGGAATCCGAGATTGAAAAACCTCAGAACAGGTAACATCTTTTGGACTCACAACCGGAGGAGCAGGAGCCGCTGGGGGTGGCGTTACAGGTTGTTTTCTGATCTCCCTAGAGGATTTAACCCACCCCCCAATTACTACCCTCTGACCAACTAACCCAACCCCACCATCAGTGCGTCCTAATATAGTTTTCAACATCACCCTTTTCGTGTATTTCGAAAAGGTGGCTGGCATCTCAACCGGAGCTTGTTCTGAGGCCATTTTTTTGGATTAAAAACTAAAATTGTCGAAACGATTTCAAGCACGAGAAGAATGTACAGTTGTTGAAGGTGTAGTGTTGATGGGGTTTGACTAGTGGGTAAGGGTTTATATTGAAGAAACATGGAGGATTTTTGATTCTTTGCTTGAGAAGAATCAAAATTAAGAGGAAGATGAAAGAAGAGGGTGTTGGGAAGTTTGGGGAAGAAGGAAAGGGATAGTCTGTGGCTGGGTCTTGCCATTGAGATATGGATTAAAGAAGAAGGCTAAGGTTTGGTATTCTTCAAAAGTCGGAAACTCGCGGGAGTTCCCATGCTCCTACCGTTAATCTCTTTTTCTCAACATCTCCTAAAGGAATATTGTACCCGTTTTAACAACTTTTGCGAAGAAAATGAGAAAATGGTCCTTTATGTTTGGTAGTTAAGTCTAAAATAGTCCATTTGATATACCTTTGAGCAGTTTTGTTTTTTAAATTTATTTAATAAGAGCACTTTTAGTCTCCATCAAATCTAATAATCACAATTAAAAAGATCTAATGGGAACTTATATTTGGAGGTGTGATCTTTTTATTAACTTTTTGCTATTTTTTATTTTACTTTTGGTGTCTCGTGCAATTTTTGAGGTGTACTTTTTTGGTAAGTTGGGTCTCTATCTAATGTCTTGTGCAATTTTTATTTTAGTAGTTTCTGGGCTTTGATGTGTCTTTCCTGGTCTTTCTCATTAAATTGTTGCTCCCAAACGTACACGCAAATATACGTGGTCGTACAAGTAATATAATATAAGAAGAGTGTCGAACCCACAGAGACTTGTGTTAACTACACACTAATTTCACAAAAACTGTTATTCAGTCGAGTCAATCCGAGTTTAATAATGTAATTATAAATAAGCAATGAATGTAAAAATTAACTAATTAAACATGCATAGAACGGTTGTTGAGAATTCGATAGAGATGAACATTCCAGGATTGTGATCGATATCCTATTGTGCTCTAGTTAACTCTTCCTTTCATACAATTCGCTCATTGTTGCTAATTAATCGAGTAATTGCTCTCGTAGCATTTTCCTGAATTACTATTCCCCTAAACAAAATAGATTAGTGTCTATATTCCTATGGAATCAATCTATCAAGAACGCATTAAGATTACAATATTCAATTGAGCATGGTGACTAGGTATATTCCTATCCTAACCACAAATCTGCCCCCACTCAGAGTTACGATCATGCCCTCTTCAATTGTTCTCTAATCTAGACGTAGCATTCCCCAGCATAATATAGATAGTAAATAGAACCTAACTGTTAGCCAGACAATTAAGCAGTTAATCATAAAATTGAAGAAGCAACCATATATTAGTGAATTATAATCAAGGTATAGTCAAATTCGAACAACAATATTCATGGCTAAATCACAACCCCATAAGTTATGGGTTTTAGCCACTCATGATAAAGTAAAATAATTTTATAAGTGTTGAATAGTTGAAAATACTTAGAAAGATGAAGAAAAACTGAGAATCCTTGCTCCCGAGTGTTCTCTGTGTGTGGTTTCCTCTCAAAGTTGTGTCTCCCCTCCAAAATAGGTTTAGACTTTTTTTATACGAGTTGGGAGTGTGTAGGGCCGTAAAAATCTTGCCCCTAGTGAAATAGAAGAGTGTCCCGTCACCCAGCGTCACGGGTAGCACGTCACGCTAGCCCTGGTGCTGGACTGTGCCAAAAAATTTCACGACTGTAAATTGCGCCCTGGGCAGCGCGACGCACTGGCCTGGGCGCTGCATTGGGTGAATTTTTCACTTTGTTCTCTCTTTACTTCCAATCTTGCACTTTCATCTCACATTGCCTCTGGGTGACTCCTACACATAAAAATACCACAAATTAGAATAAATCATTACATTACACATACAAAATTCACGAAATATGTGTAAAATTCTAGGCAATATGCATATAAATATACATACTTTAAGCCAAATATCAACATCCCACACTTAAACTCTTGCTCTCTCCAGCAATGGAACTATCAGCTATACCCAACAACTTACATCTCAACTATGGAGGAGCAACTATACTCGACTTGTAACCACTAAGCACTCTCAACTCCCGCACTCATCCAGCAAGAGAAGTTAGCAACATTACCAATCCGTTATGAGATCATGTGTCATCACCAACAAACAATAGAATGAATATAAAAATAATCCACACATTCAAATATAAGTTTAACATAATTTAAGGACGTCACACAATTGAACAAAGTCACTCACTCTCACAAAGAAGTTCATATGCATCCTATGGTCGCACCATAAGCTTGCCCGTAGTGTACATCGATGCTAATCTAAGCTCGCCATGCCTAGGATTAATTAGGTCTATCCGGGTTGTAATGTAGGCCAAGGGACGAGAAGGATATATTTAGGAATAGTGACTAACCCTCTACACTACACTCACTAGTCGAGCACACGTTCTTCTCAGCCAATACACTTGCCACAACTCATACACAACATAGCCCTTTTTTCAATTAAGCACTTTTACATCCCTACTAGAACGAATTAGTAAGATTAGGAGGTGTGTTTGTTTTCTATTTTTTCTTTTTGACTATCAACATTAATTGACTTTCTTCCCTTGCATTTTTCTTTTCTCCCTTTTTTTTTTCTTTTTTCTCTCTTTTTTTCCTACACATAGTCCATACATTAAGGTTCATCAGCTAGTGGCCTTTTTACAACTTTAGTGCACCTTATGAGCCCCTCCACGGTTCCACTCGAAAGCTACTTTCCAATTTCTCACCTTACTTCTTTTAGCGACTAAGTGCCTTCGGAGGTAAAGGTTCAACCTGCTTAAGTTAAGAACAAATTAGGGATACGACTTATAATGTGGGTGCCAAGGAAAAGGTCTATAGGCTCAAAAGGGCTAACAATGAAATTTTTATTTGTAAGTGACAAGTACATCTATGATCGAGCAAAGAACTGCCTACGTCATCTCCTAGACTAGCACATCTTAATGATTTCACCCCGACTAACGCACAGCGCAAGTTCTAGACTACATAGGATAGAACAGAATATCACGAATCATTACACATACATTGCACATGACTCAATCAAGACGGTTCTGTTCAACTCTCAAGTCAAGCAAGCAAATATAGTTGAGAATTTAAGCAATAATGCACCAGGTGACATACAAGTCAATCAACTGAGAACATGCATCACGTACTAGGCTATTTATTTCACTTAGGCATCACCTTTCTAATCAAATACAACAGGAAGACAGAGCATATGCCATAGCCTAAGGTGCTAGCACCAAACGTAGAGCAACTCAGTTTTCTTCCTATCCTACTCCTAAAAAGATAAAAGCAAAGTACCTGATTCAAGCTACACCCTTGGAAAAGAACTGGTGCCCAAAGAAAAACCAAGGGAATTACTACCTAACTATCCTAATAAAAGCAAAAGAAAATCTTTAGGGTATTTTTAATCGGACCTTTATCCCTCAAGAAAGCTGTCCAAGAGATCTATCATCGAAAAAAGTCCGAGCTTTTTCTAATTTTTTTTCGATTTTCTATATTTTCGTGTTTTACCCAATAAATCTCTACTGCTCTAAACTAAACTACTACTAACTACGAGTTCTAAAAAAATAAGATTTTTTATACAATTACAATCAGCAAGTAATTCCCCCACCCCACGCTTATGTTATACATAGTCCCGATGCATATAAGAAATCAAAACAAAAGTAAGGTGGAGAGAAAAAAATTCCTAATACTCTGACCCATTAGGGTCATACTCTGAACATTCATCCTCAGAATGCCCACAAATCAAAGCTCCAAGCTCATCATCATCTGCTCCAAGGGGTACCAAAGCTATTAGCCTCGTGACCCCAACATCTCCGTCATCCTCATTATCGGATCCCTTGGTGGTATTTTCATCCTACGATGGGTGAATGGGATTGTCAGGCGAAATGCTCAATATTTCCTTTGAAGCACTAGACAGATCATTGCACAGTTGCATCCGTTCCTCATCAGTCACTCCCATCAGGCTCTTCATCAAGTTTAGTGAACCGTAAAGATACCTGTTGAAATTTTCCTCCTGCTCATTCCGAGCGGCCGGACTCATCTTGGTAGTGGAATCCAACAATGAAGTAATATCCATCAGTCCTTTTGGATCCTCCACCATATCATCATACCTAGGGTACCCAGGTACCTCATGAGAGAGCATATACTGTGTCAATATATTACTAAAGAAAAACCTCTTTATCTTCCACCCAAAGCGAGTGCGAGCCATCTCCCCAAACATAATCTCACCCACATTGACTAGCCTCCCAATCATCAGGAAGAAAATCAAGCATACCTTAGCTCGGCTACACCCGGTGTTGTGCTCCATTGCATCAGTTTAACTTGCATAAAGTTCGACCACTCCTTGGCAGTTATGTTGAAGTCAATTCTGAGAAGTTCATTATGCGTATCACCATATGGGTGACTCTCACCACCTCAAATGGACCTGATCACCTAGATTTTAACTTCCAAGGAAATAGCTTAAGCTTGAAATTGAACAGTAGTACCTTTTGGCCTGGTTCAAAGTGATGCGGCTTGATACACTTGTCATGCCACCTTTTAGGTTTCTCCTTGTAAAGATTAGCATTTTCGTAGGAGTGCAAATTGAACTCATCTAACTCGTTCAACTATAAGAGCCTCTTCTCGCCCGCAGCTTCCAAGTCCATATTCAACTTTTTGACCGCCCAATATGCCTTATGTTCAAGCTCAACCGGCAAATGACATGCCTTCCTATACACAAGCTTGTACAGAGATGCCCCAATTGGTGTTTTGTATGCAGTCCTATATACCCACAAGGCATCATCTAATTTTGCAGCCCAAACTTTCCTGTTCACACTCACTGTTTTATCTAGTATCTGCTTTATTTCTTTGATGGACACTTCAGCTTTTCCACTTATTTGTGGATGATATGCCGTGGAAACTCTATAGCGGACCCCATACATGGCTAGAATGTTATTCAACAACCGATTGCAGAAATGTGTTCCTTCATTACTAATCAAGGCACGTAAAGTCCCAAACATCAAGAATATGTTCTTTTTCACCAAAGTGGCTACCACCTTGTCATCATTAGTTGGCAATGAAACAACCTCCACCCATTTGGAAATGTAGTCCATTGCTAGTAGAATGTACTTATTTCCTCTAGACAATGGGAATGGTCCCATGAATTCTATGCCCCATACATCAAAAATCTCTACCTCCAGGATATTAGTCAAAGGCATCTC